AATAAATAAATAAATAAATAAATAAATAAATAAATAAATAAATAAATAAATAAATAAATAAATAAATAAATAAATAAATAAATAAATAAATAAATAAATAAATAAATAAAAGACGCCTGCTTCTTGGGAGGAAAGCGATGACAAACCTTGACAGCATCTTAAAAAGCAGAGACATCACCTTGCCAACAAAAGTTCGATTAGTCAAAGCTATGGTTTTTCCTGTAGTGATGTATGGAAGTGAGAGCTGGACCATAAAGAAAGCAGACCGCCGAAGAATTGATGCCTTTGAATTGTGGTGTTGGAGGAGGCTCTTGAGAGTCCCCTGGACTGCAAGGAGAACAAACCTATCAATTCTAAAGGAAATCAACCCTGAGTGCTCACTGGAAGGACAGATCCTGAAGCTGAGGCTTCAGTACTTTGGCCATCTCATGAGAAGAAAAGAGTCCTTGGAAAAAACCTTGATGTTAGGAAAGTGTGATGGCAAGAGGAGAAGGGGATGACAGAGGATGAGATGGCTGGACAATGTCTGTGAAGCAACCAACATGAAATTGACATAACTACGGGAGGCAGTGGAAGATAGGAGGGCCTGGCGTGCTCTGGTCCATGGGGTCACGAAGAGTCGGACACGACTAAACGACTAGACGACGATCTATGACCTTATGTTGCTGTTAGAGATGTGGATTTTAAGCTGTACAGTGTTTATTTGTAATACAAAAAAAGCAAGACAGGCTATTAGACTATATTGAAGAAGCAGTTAAACAAATAAAAAAAGAAGCACAGATGGCAAAAGTAACACTTAAATTTACGATCAGTCTGCCCTTGTATAGAAGGATGTGTTTTCCTTCATATACTTTTTCCCAATAAGTAGGCACTGCTTACAATTTCACCAGGTTTCTGTTCAAGCCATTACTATGTAAATAGTGGACATTGCTCATTCTCAGAATCAATAAACAAATAAATAATTTAAAATGCTGCATAACCCACTTCTAAGGCATATGTTTCTGGTGTTTTTTCTTTAATACACTGAACACAAAGAGAGATCAGGAAATGATCACTTTATAAATCAAGTGATCATACATATATTTCATTTCAAAAGATATTTTGAAAGATGTGAGATATTCAGAATGTCTCATTTTCCAAGGAATGGTTGGAAAAGACCAGCAATCCATTCTTGTTCCATTTTCAAAATACTGAGCAATAGTTATTGTTTTCACAGATTGCATCTGGTCGCCTAGTAACAGTTGAAAGTACACCTTCTGAATTGACTGGAGGACCACTAGCTGACACAGACCTTGCACTTAAAAAGCTGCCTATTCGTGGTGGAGCCTTAAAAAGGATCAAAGAAGTTAAAATTATGGATTCCTTCAAGAAAGGTTCAGTATCTGTAAAATGAATATTGTGCAGTAACATTCCAGATAATTTTCTGTATTTTAAATTTAATTTATATATCTAATTTGAATAACTATTTGTGCCACACTGGGAAATGTAGATATTTTAGACAGCCTCTTTTTCCCTTAGAAATAATATGGATATCATGAAGCCAATGAATAAATTCAGTGCATGACAGAAATCAGTGCTGTCTAATCATTGCCAAAGTGACTCAATTGGTATTCTTACGCACTCACATAAATACATAAATACCACTGTGTGTTGTTATGATGTTTAGATTGATAGAGGTTTGAAGCATAAAGAGAAGAAAATAGTCTCTCGGGATATAAAGTGAAAATGGCATGGGTCACTGCTGTAATCCAGTAACTGCTTCAGAATAAGGTGACTTGCAAAAATTCTGGATCCTTGACGTGTTATAGGCAAAGACTTTAAAACTTAAATAAACAAGGTTGATTCATACATTATATTACATATAACTTATTCCCTTTTCTAGTGAATTAATTAGGATCAAAGTCAACAAGAACAATGTAAGAAGCAGCCCTAACATTCAGAGAACGCCATAACCAAAATGACTTGAAGCACTGAGAACAGCACTGCTTTCATCTGGCTTATTTCAGTGCAAAAGCTCTTACAGTTCATTGGCAAGCTACTTTTATTTTATTTATTTATTTATTTAGTTGATTTATATCCCGCCCATCTGGCCTATAAGACCACTCTAGTCTAAAACTACTTTTTTATTTTTCACAGTTGGGGAACAGGTGTAAAAAAAGGTATATCTGCACATTTCTGCACATATTGCTGGAATAAATTGTGGACTGTGAAAATTAAAGAATATACAGAAATATTCTTCTAGTGCAAGTAGATGTTCCCAAAAGGGGAAAAAATAGGGAGTTATGGCTCATCACCAAGTAAGGAGCAGAAAAGCTATAGGAAAATGACGAGGCAGGACTTGGGAAGCGAAGTGCACCAAAGAGTCTTCAAGCTGCAAATGGATAGTTTTGCAAATGCTTTGGGGAAAATTATTTGCCCTGTTTCAGAGAACAGAATGAGGGAGAACAGAAGACAAAACACACTTCTGACTAATAATGATCACTTGGAAACCTAGCCTGGACACAGATTATCTCAGTCCCTAAAACCGTAAGACACAGATTTTGGTCTAAGTCTGTATTGGGTGTGCTGCAACCAATTTGGATGTATGCCAACATGGCTAGAGTCTTTGCCAAATACCCTTTTTTTCCATGTATAAGATGCTACCTTTTACTAAAATAGAATAAAAATGGAGGGTCTTATACACGGAACTAAGCTGGATTTGCATGCAATAGCTGGCACGCTCTGTGGGCACACGAGCCATGCCAATGCTGCTGCCCATGCCAGCCCGATGCATGGCGCAGCACTGCTTGCTGCTGGGGCTGAGCTCGAGCTCACACCGCCATCTTGTCCCCCGCCTGAAGGGGGTCCATGAGTGGCGCTGGAGGTGGTGATCATGCGGCAACAGCAGAAGGAGGAGGCAGAGGTGAAGGAGGAGCTGCGCCCCACTGCTCCCTGCGCGAAATCACTGCTGCCCATTAACTGTGACTCCGGTGCCGAAGGAGCGTGAGTGGGGCAGGGAGCACCACAGCGCAGGAAGCCCAGGCGAAGGCCCTGCCTATATTTGGGGAGGGGGAAAAGGCGTCCCCTGGCTGCCCTCCGGAGGACGTGTCAGCCTGGAAAGTGCCTGCTGATTTGGGCACTCAGGCTCAAAACGGTCAAAAAAGGGGGGCATGTTATACATGGCGGCATCTTAGAAACAGAAAAATATGGTAAATAATTAATAAAAAGTGAAGATGGGTAAACCAAACAGCTAGGCAAGCACTTCTTAGGGACCCCCAGACTTTGCAGCGAGTGAAGAATATGTACAAAGAATAACTTGGAATGTAAACCAGTTAAAAATATATATTCATGCTTAGATGCTCTCTACCAGAAAAAATAATGTACATGGAAAGAAGCAAGGAAGGGAATGTGGCATATAAGTGTTTGTGTCATTGTACCTGGCTGGATAACTCAGAGAGCTAGGTATCTGGCTGTAGAGTCAGAGGATGGGAATTCAATTCTCCACTGTGCATCTCAGGAGAGGCAGCCGGTGTGGTCTTTGGCAAGCCGAGTAGTCCCAGGATGCCTCCAAAAGAAGGGAATGCTCTGAAAAGGGTTGCTGTAAGTCAGAATTGACCTGGCAGCACATAATGATGTGTATCATTGTGTTTGATTTAAGACTGTGAAACACCTTATCACAATGCTCAAAGTCCCTTCAGATACCCTCGTTGGACACAACCAGTCTCCCAGTGTGGAATGACTCCTCTGGATATGGGGGAGGGCAAGGAGATGCAACGTTGGGTCTGTCACAAGTATATGAAATTTTATCTGGATGTACAAGCCATTGAATCCAGCTAGTCATAAGGTAGATTTGGGAGCTGTAACCAACTGGATGGCTCATAACAAAGCCTAGCATTTGGCCACCAGATCTTCTTGCTTCTGACTGCAATGAGACTTTTGCCCATGTACCCTTTCCCACTGCAAGACTAACTGGACAAAGCTCCAGTGATGCAAATACAAAATCAAAATTATATGTGTACAAAGGGCATCATGGTTATGCTTTTCAACAACAAATCCTTGTCCAACAAAATTTACGATGATTAACTGGATTTTAAACTGAATAACAAAAATAATGTTATGCTGCCTTTTTTGTATGATAAGGTTGTTGTTTTTTTCATTTTCTATTTTGCTCCACTTGAAATAGACAAGGAAGATCAGCAAAAATCAGGTATCCTGATACTTTGTGCTAAACAAAACTATCAATAATTGCAGTTTCTTAAAGATAGGTTTTTGCCTTTATGGATTCACTTTATTTTTAAAATCTAAAACTTCTAAATTTTAATCATGTGTTCTTTCTAGCCAAGAATAAGTGACTCTGTGTCTTGACAATGTGTGTTTCCATCCAGGATCTAAGAAAGTTCAAATATTGAGGTCATTGTTTAATATGTGAGGTGAATGTACCAGAACAGTGAGTCTTCCTCTCCAGAAAGTACAACATTGTTATTTATTTAAAGTAGTTATAATTTTTTCTACCCTTCAGAGACCACAGTTCAGGTATTTGAGTTCCCACAATACTAATTAGTTAAAACTCCAGGATTCATTTGTCTGTGCCTCTTAGCTTTAAAAGCTAGTATGGCAAGTGGCTGTTGTATTCCATTCAGAAAACATAGAAATTCATAGGATGTATTCATACCATTCATTGTTCTAAAATCTTAAAATAATATGTGACACTTGATGGCCCATATTCCTGTGTAAATGATAGGATGGACAAGGTCACAGCTTAGGAGCATCATCCACTGCTTCTAATTTATTCTATACTTCTAGAATATTGTAGCCCTAGATATCAGCCATTGTTTAAATGTTGATGGTTATTTCTTAGGGGCTTATTCCCTTTTCTCTGTCTGAAAGACAAAGACATCTATCTGCCAGGTTGTGTTAATAAAATGGGATTTTGCAGTCAATTATTTTTGAAAATTCCTTCAAGTATATAACCTCTTCCTTTAGTATGTTGTCTTAAATAATGTGAGTGCCACCTAATGGCTCCAAATTGCTTGTGTGCTGAAACTGACACTGTTAAAATCCCCGAGTTTCCTTATTATTTTCTATGAAAATGAATACAGTACTTGTATGTATATTATTACAATCCCATAGAATAATAGTCAGAAGAATAAATGTAACATTTCAGTAGTTTTCACTGCATAGAAAAATATTTTAATTTATGATGACATGAATTAGTGATCAAATCCAAAGTTTAGATTGAGTTTAAAGATTGCACAGAGAATTACATCAAGCATAATTTCTTCCTGTTTACATTTTAATGCCTTAAAAACAAAATATATAAGACACTACAAAATATGCATGTCACTGCACAATGCCTTATTAGTGTATAAAAATATACTGAGTTTCCATTGAATTCGGCACTTTCTAAAATGAGAAACTTGTCTCTCCCAAAAAAGAGGCATCTACAAAAATATGCTCATTTTAAACACGTGGATTTACCTGAGAGAAAACAGGTAATTTATCTAAATAAATAAAATATTTGCATTTGTGTTGAGTTCTTCAGTATTAACAGTAAGAAAAGGAATTATGTTGGCTATGATTGTCTGGAATATGCTTATCAAATTAGGACACAGAAAAAAGACTGCAAGAAATAGGTCTCAGAAACATCTATATAGTAAAAGATATGGTTTTTGAAAAGCAAGCTGACTTTAGTCTGACACCATCTTGTCTAGGTATCTTCTGTATTTTTGCCTCTTTGCTCTACAGTTGAGGTTTGAAAAACCTGAAGAGGGGAGAAAAAAACTACAGATAAGCATATGGTTTTTTAATACTTTTTTAAAGTTATCAAAGTTAATCTGTAAAAATACAATGACATTCTCTCAGAAAATACAAAAATACTAGCTCTCTTTATTTCACAATACAGTAGGACATAGATATAGTAGGAGATAGATACAATATAAATGCTTAGTAATAATAAATTGAGAGGAATGTGGCAAAACATATCAGCAGTTATTTCCTTAATCTGTCTAAAACAAAACAGCAAGGAAAACAATACATTTCCATACTTGTAGTTCTTCAAAATGCTAATTTGATGAAATTACCTGCAGAGGTTTTCTGTGCATTCATAAAGTTATTGTCTGGGGACACTAATTGTCTCCTGCCTACTCCATGTGACCTTGCGACCACACAGTCTATGTACATATCCCAGAAGTTCTGGGCTAAATCATTGAAGACGTCATTATGTTTGGGTTTAGATGACTCTTTTAAGAACATCATGAATTCCCAGAGAGCAATAACTGTGCTTGCAATCCTGAGTTTCTTCATTTCCACCAGCCGATGAGAGGAGGTTTCCCAGCACTGATGATCAATCTCTCCAAGGCTGGCAGGGGCTTCTTTTTGATATTCTAGGGTGCTGCAAATAAAATTCACCATCAAGAGACAACCCAGTTGAACATACCACCTCCTTCTGTGTATAGATTCCATGTTGCAGAGAGGTATCTGAAAGCAACAAAGAGAAATATGATGTTGCTGTTTTGCTACTTGATAGTTTTTGAAACATATTAGCACAATCTTCACAACAGTGAGGCTGTACAGTATTACAGTACTGGCAGGAAGGAGTCTGTCCCTGGGACCTGCTTTGTCCTGCCTAATATTATTAGCACTATTGGTTCTGACAACATTGATCTCCAGGTCAGTTAAGGTGAATAACAAAAGTAAGTGAACCTAGACAGAGTCTATTAATGGCTTCTCCTTCCCCATTCACAGAGTACACAGATACAAATTCAAATCCCCAACCAACCAAGAAGCTCACTGGGTGACATTAGGCTAGCCAGTGTATCATAAAGCTGTTGAGGAGATAAAATGGGGAATTATATATAATTCTTGTACAGGCTGTCCTTGTCCTTAGACAAAGGACAGCCTGTACAAGAAAGAAAGAAATTAAACACACATCAGATTAAAAAATCTGTTTCCAACAACTAAGTATGTGCAATCGTGCAGTGACATATTTTGAAATATAATAAGTTGAATATATGGAAGGATGTTGTTGTTTAGTTGTTAAATCATGTCCGACTCTTCATGTCCGACTCTTCATGACCCCCACGGACCAGCCCTCCTGTCCTCCACTGCCTCCCGGAGTTTGGTCAAAAGGAAGGACATACTGCCCTAATCCCCCTTCAGACACTTGTGTTTTCATCAGAAACAACTACAGTAAATGCCAACTCTCACAACTATCATCTGTAAAACATGGAAGAACTTAAACTCTACAGTAATATACATACAGTATATTGTATTTGAAAAGGGAATCATATTCTCCATCTCTCTGTCTCTCCTCACCTACAAACTTCACTGATCTAATTTTACTTCTAGAAAATGCCAGAGATCGAATTTCAGATTTTCCAAAAGTAAGAAGCCATAATCGCAAATGTTTATTTCCCCTTGCAGTGCTGAATACTAAAATTCAGAATGCACTTAGAGTGATAATAGAGATCAGAACAGGACTTGGGGAGAGGATATATTCAGGAGCATGAAAGATGTTCAGTACTTTTAACTGAGCTTTTAAAACATGTTTTGAAGATTATAGGTATAAAATTAAAATTAACTGCACCATAACTAGTTTGGTTAAGCATAAAGCATGAACTACATTCTCTACCTGCCTTGAGTCAATATCAGGTGATGTCTGGAAGTAACCAAGTCAAAACATCTTGGTCATCCTATAATCCAGAGGTCTCCAAACTAGTCCACGGGTCACATCTGGCCCATGTTGCTGTTTTGTCCGGCCTGTTGCCTTCATCCTGTGCATGTGTGCAGGAGGTGGGCATGTATGTGCGTGTGGGAGGTGGGTGTGGGGTGTGTGCATGCACATGGGCGGGACATGTGCGAGTTCCTTTGGCCCTCAAAAATATCATAATTATGTGGCCATCTGTGTGAAAAGTTTGGAGACCCCTGCTATAATCCAATAACTTAGCAGGTCAGTCACTTAGAAAACACAGCTGTTTTTCTGTGTACTTCACCAGGAATGGACCAGTTTAACTGATGATCCATGACTTTTAGATGGCAAACACCATCAATACTAGTTAACTGAGAAACGAGTATACTTATTTGCAGGCTAAACAAAATAAACTACCGTATTTTTCCATGTATAAGACACCTCCATATATAAAATGACCTGTCCCACTTTTCTAATCCAAAATTAAGAAATCTAAGTGGGGCTTAGCAAATATAGGGTAAAAAGGATCAAAGTGCTGCAGGATGGCTTTGATCCCTGCTTTCTTCCATGGGGCTTAGCAAAGGAGGGGGAAAGGGATCAAAGCAATTCCGTGACTGCATAATCATTTGATCCCTTTCCCCTCTCCTTTTGCTAAGCCCCATGGGACTTAGCAAGCAGAGGGAAAGCAGGGATCAAAGCGATCCTGCAGCACTTTGATCCCTGCTTTCCTTTTGCTAAGGCTTAGCAAGTGGAGGGGAAAGCCCTGCAGGATCACTTTGACCATTGCTTCCCCCCCCACTTGTTTTTTATCCTCAGCTTACTTCCGTGTATAAGACGACCCTCAATTTTTAGTCTAAAGGTTTTTAGACAAAAGTATAGTCTTATAAATGGAAACATATGGTAGCTGAATAGTTCAGTGAGTTAGGTATCTGGCTGTGAAGCCAGAGGTTGGAAATTTGATTCCCCACTGTGCCTCCTGTAAGTAGAGCAAGCCTGTGTGGCCATGGGCAAGCTACACAGTACCAAGGTGCCCCCAGAAGACGGGAATAGTAAACCACTTCTGAGTATTCTCTACCTGGAAAACCCTAGAAAGGGTTGCCATACGTCAGAATTGACTTAATGGCAGATGTTGGTGATGATAATACAAAATAAAACAAATTATGTATACCTTGCCATGTTTGGCAATGGACAAATACTAATTGTCAATAACCCAAATACTAATTGTCAGCAATTCAACCACATCCATATATAATTTTATAATGCCAAAAATAGTAACTCAACATAATTTGATACACAACACTGAGCTACAGGGACAAATCATCTGCCAGTATAATGCAGTTTCCTATGTACCTATTACAAGATATTTAAATACATGTTTTCAGATGTACTTAAAGCACTGGAACACTATGTTATTTAAATAGATTTCACTCAGCAGTAAACAACTAAATTGCAAATCACTGATCATGTTCTCAGTCAGCATTATGAGTAAGAGTACATTCAGTTGTAGCTAACGTAGACTTACAGATGTATTTTCAAAACTCCAATTTGGCATATGGGGTTCTATCCAGTGAGGGCTATTTTATGGTCCAATTAAGATGACTGCAGCAACATCAGAGTTTATACAGTAGTAAGAGTAGTGGATGTGAAATACCACCACCATTACATTTGTTTTATGACAGTGGGTAATATACCAGTTTTAAGCATAGCCAACCTCACAGCACTGCTGTGAATATAAAATGGAGAAAAAAAGGAGAACGATGCTATTGGAGCATCTTTTCTTTTGTACTCTGCTTCTTTTCTTTCCAATGGCTATATGCCATCTTTAATCCAATTTAGGTTTTAGGACAGTATACCAAAAATGTATAATGTAATTATTTATACAAATTATTGTAAATTAGTCTAATTTTTTTGCAAAAGTGTGATTGAGTGAATGATTGATTGAATGAGAGATGGGCACTTGTGACCCTCTAGATATTTTTTTGGCTGCTGCTCCCATCATTCCTCACCATTGGTTGTGATGACTAGGGCTCATAAGCACTTCAGTAAGCATTTGGAAGCCACAACTGCCCATCCCTAATTACAGCATATTGTTAATTACAATAACAACAGCTAACTTTTTAAAAGGCACATTAAGCCTAAGGAAATAAAAAAGAATACTATAATGTACATATGTGTCAGGAGCACCTCTATAAAAAGGCAGCCCAATTCTAGAATGCTAGGCCAATGAAGTGAAGGAATCCTTGCCTTTTTGAGCTGGGACCCATTTCAAAATTTGAGAAATAAGCATTGTGACTTAACCCAGCCATCAAATCAAAATAACTTCCCTCAGAAACTGAATGCTAAGTAGAGATTAGGACTAAGGCCCAAATGCCAGATCACATATCTAATCTAATTTAGCACAAAAAATATATTAGTTTCCTAAGAAAATATTGCTGATATTCTGACACAAACACACACATCCACACAGAGGCAATGTCTTTTTCCAGCCACAAAACAATTAACAAAAACAAAAACAAGAACTCATCCTAGGCACAATTTAGAGGCATCCCAAAACCCAAGCAACTGTCCATCCCATGTCAACAGTTAGTTTAAAAAAAAACAAGCATGTAAACCATACATGACCCCTAAAAATGTCCACAAAACTTCAGGAAATCTTATCCTAATACAACCCCCTCATACGCCAAGTCTCAGCAAGAACTTTCTTCAAGTTATGTACAAAAAGCCCAACAACCCTCAACACATACAGCAAATATTTATACACAAAATCATAGGTAACTCCCCTTGCAACAGGGAAGAAACACATACACACACAGACAGACACACACGCATATCACAGGAAAGGCACATATATAAAAGCCTTTGGGGAAGACTCCCTACCTGTCAGTCAAAACTCATGAAAAACTGGTAACTTCTACCCATCCATTCCACTTGTCCATTCAAACACATATACACTTCTCTTGAAGCAGGCAATTGTGTGCACATACACACCAAATAAGACAAAGCATGTTTGCCTGTTTGATTGATTTTTATTCTGTCTTTCTCCCCTAATGGTGGACTCCAGGTGATATGCCAAAAAAATGTCAACAGTTAGTTTAAAAAATTGTGATGTTGTTGTTGTTTAGTTGTTTAGTCGTGTCCGACTCTTTGTGTCCCCATGGACCAGAGCACGCCAGGCCCTCCTGTCTTCCACTGCCTCACGGAGTTGGGTCAAATTCATGTTGCTAGCTTCAATGACACTGTCCAACCATCTCGTCCTCTGTCGTCCCCTTCTCTTGCCCTCACACTTTCCCAACATCAGGGGCTTTTCCAGGGAGTCTTCTCTTCTCATGAGATGACCAAAGTACTGGAGCCTCAGCTTCAGGATTTGTCCTTCCAGTGAGCACTCAGGGTTGATTTCCAGCACCACAATTCAAAAGCATCAATTCTTTGGCGGTCAGCCTTCTTTGGTCCAGCTCTCACTTCCATACATCACTACAGGAAAAACCATAGCTTTGACTATGCGGGCTTTTGTCGGCAAGGTGATGTATCTGCTTTTTAAGATGCTGTCAGTGTTCATCATCCCTTTCCTCCCAAGAAGCAGGCGTCTTTTAATTCTGTGGCTGCTGTCTCCATCTGCAGTGACCATGGAGCCCAAGAAACTCAAATCTGTGACTGCCTCCATATCTTCCCCTTCTATTTGCCAGGAGGTGATGGGACCAGCGGCCATGATCTTGGTTTTTCTGATGTTGAGCTTCAGACCATTTTTTTTTCATTCTCCTCTTTCACCCTCATTAAGAGGTCCTTTAATTCTTCCTCACGTTCTGCCATCAGAGTGGTAACATCTGCATATTGGAGGTTGTGGATATTTCTTCTGGCAATCTTAATGCCAGCTTGGGATTCCTCCAGTCCTGCCTTTCGCATGATGTATTCTGCGTATAAGTTAAATAAGCTGGAGGACAATATACAGCCTTGTCATACTCCTTTCCCAATTTTGAACCAATCAATTGATCCACATCCAGTTCTAACAAGTAAAAACTATAATATATATGTATTTAAACCATTATTTTAAAACTAAGCATTTTTAAAAGACCTCCCCATCTCAACTGCCTCCATAATACCCTCTTGCCTGCCAAAGGAGAGAAGGGGCCAAGCACAGCTCCCAAGGGAGGGAGTTCCATATAGTGGGAGGAGCCACAGGGAAAAAGAAGTCCCCTTTTTAGTTCTTGCACTGGCAAACAATCCAAATCTCAGCCTCCTTTCACACAAAGCAAGAACAGCAACACACACACAGCCTACACACCTCTCCCTTAAACAGAGTAACAAATAATATCCCAAAGTCCACTGTCCAAATGGCAGCCCTTTCACCCCAGCTTAGCAAGAGGCAATGAGGGCCTTGTCCTCCATTTTCCTTCTTCTTCTTAAAGTAGCTGGAGCAGCTGGAAAGGAAGGGATTAGCTTTCATTCTGCCCGCTTCCTTCCCTTTTTTAAATTTTATTTTTACAAAGGCAGATGACATTCTGGGGGTATTTTTCAGAAAGGAAAGGCCGGGGGCTGGCTGACTAGTGGTTTCTATGTCCTTTGCCATGGTTGCCAGCCCGTGTCCTGGCTTTGAAAATTGCTATATTTCTCCCCATGGTTGTCTGAGATCTGGAGTAAAAAGGGACCTCTGGGGGCTTCAAGAATGTTAGAGATTATAGTCAACTGTTGGGGGCTACTGGACTCCCCAGATATATAAGGCCCAGTTTCAAATCCCCACTCAATGAGACAGGGACACATCCTCAGTCCAACCTCTCTGTAAGGATAAAATTAAAGGACAGACCCATGTTCTCTGCCAAAGGGGCACCTAAATGCAAAATGAAAAGTTAGATTGCTGTGGCCCTAAGTAAACACAGCAGAGTTAAAAGAAGCTCACAGAATCTACCAATGTTTGTTTTCTACCAACTTTTGTTTTCGAACCACAAAATAATTTTTTAGATTTTAAAAAAGAAATATACCCCTCTTGCCCTGGCATCTGATCAATGGCATGTTGCCTCTGAAAGTAGAGATTCTAAACTTAATTATTTAAGGAGGAGAAGAAATAAATAACATTTACACATAGCATTTCTTCTGTGTTCAAATCCATTTATATATATTTTCCCCTGTGATGTTGCCAACAGCCCCTTAAGATAGTTTCTGTTAGGTCCCTGTAAGTAGATGCTCTGAAAACCTGCATGAGAAGATGCTCTGAGAACTTGAGTAAGGGTGCCAGGGAATAAGGACTGCATCTGATTGCTTCACTGGGAGCAAACTTAATTAAAGCAATTTTTCCATGCATGCATGAATCCCTCCAGCCCAGCTCTGAAAAAAGAGTAGCCGTATCATGGGACCAAAAAGGCCCAGCCTGGGCATGGAGCTGGGTTGGGCTAGTTCACAATCTCCTTTATGTTCTTTGATTACCTGAAAATAGCTTGCACTGGAGAGTGCCACAAGTGGTCCAAATGCAAGCTATATCATCTGATCAGTTAAACTTATGAGTTATAAACTGATACCTGATTTGAACTGACGGTGAACGTTCTCAGCTCACACTCTTCTACTAAGAATTTTTCTCAACAATATCACTAGTTTAAAACCTTATACAATGTTATACTTTTGGTATGGTATAGACTGCACTAATTCATCAGTGCCTAGATGGGAATACCTGACTCTAATTTTTAATCTACATAAATTATATTTATTTGTTTAGCCCTGTATTGTAAAATCTCAGACATGTATACTTTTCCCTCATTCCATTATATATAAATGGAGTAACGTTTTCTACTTCTTCTTGTCTTGCCTTTCTCAGCCTAGCACCCTGCAGATATCTTGGCTAGAAAATGAGAGTTTTAGCTTAATACATTTAGAGGATACTGAATTGGGGAAGACTGGCATAAGCATTGGAAACATATGTCTTTTCTTGCTTTAAACCAACCCCGTTTTTGCCAATGCATGAAAACTCGAGCAACTAAGGTTTTGAGTGGTAGGGGTTAATTATCAAATAGCAAAATCAGTTGGGACCACTATTATAAAAATATGCATAAGCTCAATGGAACACAATGGGGCTTCACTTTTGAGTCCATACGCCCAGATTGACACTTAAAAAGTTCTTCTAGAATCCAGATCCTCCCTGTTCAATAAGTCAAAGATTAAAGCAAACAAACAAACATTTGTTTTAAATTGCTGTGAATGATTAGGGAGAAATCATACTTACTGAGATAGAGTCTTCAGTGCAAATATTCGAACACAGGAAGCTGTGTTGACTGGCCACTTGGAGAGAGAGAGAGAGAAAGGAGGGGAGAAAGGTTTTGAGTTGTCTTCCGAATGTCTGAACTCTGAAGCTGCTGCTTGACTGCTGGTGTTGGTTATTGCTGCTTCTGCTATAGGGTAGTGAGATGTCACTGCAGAGGAAGACACTGGCATCAGCAAGAGCAGGATCCACAATAATAACTCCAAGAGGGAGAGGGGTTATAAATCACATAAACCTGCCTCTATCCACATCATCTTCAATGAGTCAATATGCTACACGTCCCTCCCATCCACCCCCCATTGACAAAATGCATAATCCAGTTCAACAGCAGTCAGGACATTTCTCCTACCAAGAGATGTGCTAGTCTGTGCTTGTTTACACACCACATTTAAACAGGGCTTGACTCTTTGATAAATGAGTTTAGAATTGTAAGACTATCATATTATACAGTATATATATTTACTAGGAATTAAATTCCATTTCATTTTCATGGATCAAGCAATATGAGAGCAGTCTTAAAGCATTTTTGACTTCTGCTAGAACGTGACAGGATTCCCAGTGTGATGCAGTCCATAGAGTGATGAACCAAGACTTGGGAGAATAGAGTTCGAATCCCCGCTCAGCCATGGAAACCCTCTGGGGGAGTAGAACTGGTAAAACCATTCCTTTAATATCTCACTTACCTTGGTAAGCCCTACTGGGGTCACTATAAGTTGGTTCTGACTTGACAACACAAAGCACACATACACAGAGAAAACATGACAGATTAATGTCCTTAGTGCAGGTGTGACTTTGAGTAAAGTTTAAAAAAAGAGAAGAAAAATTAGCCATTGAAAACTGTGTTACTCAGAATGTGGAAGATTATTTTGTTTTGAAGATTTACATGCCATCTTTTAATAAATTATATTCAAGGCAACCCCAAAATAGATTACAGACATTTATAACGTAATTGTTTCACTTCATAGGATGGCCTTCAGTAATAGGTCTCTGCATAGAGTAATTTAGCCCAGACAAAACAAAATCATAAAAAATAAAAACAGAGCTATAGAATAATTGAAGATGCAGTCAAAGTCACTGAGATCTATCAAAGCTATAAGACCACACTAAAATAAGCTATCTCAGAAAGATCTGGGGAATTAAAGGAGATTAATGTTGGAAGGGCATTATATACATTTTCAGACCATTTTAGCCATTTAACATCCTCTGGGATATTTTGTGAAACAAGATCATTTAAAATATATTTTACGCCATCTTTTGTTTTGTACAATACAGCATAAAAATCAGGTTGCAGGGAGGAAAGGAAAACAAGGCAACCCCTCCCCCCCACACACACACACATCTTGGATTGTGTGAGATTGCTTTTTGTAATATCTTGCTATACTTCTATTGTTCTCCTCTTTCTCAGAAAGCAAGAGTTGTAGCAGGAATCTGATCCTTCCCTCCTACACAAGCCCCAAGTTGTTACACTAAAACTGCCCCAGTGACAGCAGACCTAGGACCTTGAAGACCCATAGTTATAGATATGGAATCTGTCTTCTAGGAGTTCAACGTCTGCTTGAGTATTTTATCCAAGAAGGTGATCATTGCAAATTACTTCTGTAAAGTATTTACCTATTTCTGTAGACAATTTGAAACCATCTTTCATTCCTAAAAATAAAACAATAAGACAGTAACAGATGTCCAGGTAGTCATCAGATGATAGTTGTTACTTACCTCATTACTGTTGCAGACTTTTGAATTTCTGGTAAAATTCTATTTTGCAACCTGCGCAGTAGAAGTACAGAAATCCAGAGAGAACAGTAGCTGTAAGTTCCCCAGAGTATATCCCTTAAAGTCTCAATTACCCACTTCGAAGCATTTGTAGGAGAAAGAATTTAAAAAATGTCTTTATATACAGTTGCTTGAAGTCACAGATTTGTGTATTGTATATAAATTATTGCACTCCATGACCAGCAAATGACAATAAATATGATACAGATTACATTGATAAGGCAGTCACAAAGGTAAAAAGAGATAAAGGAAATATAACTTAAAATCATCCATTAAATTTGCTTTTTTCCATCTGTGGTGGATAGCCCGGCTGCGGCCCTATCTCGATGTGGGGGCGCTCACTACCTTGGTTCATGCACTCATAATCTCGAGATTAGACCACTGTAATGCGCTCTACGTGGGGCTACCTTTGAGGTTGATGCGGAAACTCCAGGTGGTGAAGAATGCGGTGGCCAGGCTCAGTGGAGCGAGAAAATAGCACCACATTTCTCCTATTTTGGCCGCGCTGCATTGGCTGCCCATCCGATTCCGCATTGACTTCAAAGTTCTGACGCTTACGTTTAAAGCCCTAAACGGTTTAGGGCCTAGATACTTGGCGGAACGCCTACTCCCACCTAGCTCTACCCATGTCACTCGTGCGAGTCAGGAGGTGAGGCTGAGGAGCCTGACGCCGAGGGAGGCCCGGAAGGAAAAAACAAGAAACCGGGCCTTCTCGGGGTATAAATGGAATAAACTAACTAACTAAATAAATAAATTGTTGCATATCTTCCATGCCGCTGTGAGAAATTTTGCACAGGTAAGTATAATCCAGGGATTAAGACCTAAAAGTAGTTTATGTAGATCTCTGTTTCAGGATGGCCCAAAAACCTGTTAAGCAAAGGAAGAATAAGCTTTACAGATTCATATACAGTATGTTGCTTTCTTTCTGCATACATACTTAGCAACCAACTGAACAGATCAACAGCAAACAAAAACCTCTCAGCAACTAAGGAAAGCAACGAAAAGAGCATTCAGCAGATTGGCATGGATATCTTTGAAGTCAAGTCTGCAAGGAACAATTGCTTAGTAATGCTGGACAGATGATCACTCCAGCCCAGAAAATGTTCTCCCAGTTATTCAACCCACAGACTGAATGCGAGGTTGCAAATAAAACTCCAGCAATTAGTCTCTGAGGCCCTAGGAAAGCTTCCTTAGGATTGATCTTACAATTGCATCTTTCAAGACAGCTGGCACCTCCCCATCTCACATGTAGACACTAAACATCTCCTGTACATATCTTCTAGTCAAGATGATGTAACTAATCAAGGGTTCTGTACATATCCTCTAGTCAAGATGATGTAACTAATCAAGGGTTTACACAGCTTGTGACTGGACAAGAAGGATACTCCCCACTAAATCCTGGGATGAGTCACAATTCACCCCTGCAACAGATAAATAAGATAGTATAGGGCTGAGGAGGCCCAGACACGACAAACCTTTTTCTGTCTTCCTCTCCCACATGACAAAGGAGTTGCACTCACCCTCCCTGAGAAATGTATTTATTTTGTGGTAAAGGATATGAAGCTTATTTAGCAATGTATTTAGAAGTATGGCACCTCAGCTACTTGTCATTTAATTATGCTACCTAGTCTTAATATATGTAGGTCACCACTATTCAACATTTGTAAATACAAACCTGGGCCAAGTGAAAATATGGACCTCTGCAGCCCACAAATAAAGCCATCATCTCTATGAAAATTCCGCCACTGGAGAGGGAGAAAATGGATAACTTCATCTCTTGGGAGCTGAAAAGGGGGGATTTTTAAAAATATGAAATAAGTAAATTGCATGCATCGAGTGCAGTTTTCAAACTAACGAAAAGAGATTAGAGAACATCTTTGTATGCACATATGACATTGAAAGGGTCTTGAAAAGTTGTTAAAGCAAGACAGAAAAGAGGAAGAGGGCCATTGTTAATATCAGCATGAGGAGATACAGAGGGATACGTGTACCAATTTCAGCACTGCAGGTAAAACCATTCAGATAATTATAATTCTCTGCCTTGAACAACCAGAGACTGATTTTCTGGTACTGTCTCCCACTCACAATGGAGTGATGCTTCTTTATATTTTCTCATAGGCTTTTGCTCAGGAAGTAAGTATAACAAGCAGTTAATGCCACACCAGTGGTGTGATGTGCAGGTGACGTATTTTCTGCATACCACATTGTTCTGTTCAGTACTCAGAGATATGGCATAATATGGAAGCATTTGCTAAATATATTCTAAACAAATCTGAATTTCTCTTTAATAGGTAAGATTTGTTAAAGCAAGTTTTATGCCCCTTTCAATATGCACATTTAAATTGTTATGTGGGTAAGTACCAGGAAATAAAAAAAGATTCTGGCATGTTATAGTGCTGCTTCTTAGCATGTGACAAGGTTTTGAAACCACAAACCTAGTACCTGCTATTCATATGTGAGTCAAGTTCTTGGTTGAGTGACTATCTCACTGCGTTGAAAGAGAAACGGCACATAATGTTCTTGCAGACATTATCATGGTGTCAATGATGTAAAAGAGGAGGGGGGGGCAAGGCAGAAAATTGATGTCCTACTGATGAAGAAGCAGCATCATTGAGCATCTCTCATAGGGGAACCATATGAAGAGTCGTCACAGTGTGGGAGGAAAAGAGCTTCCAGTTGACACCAAGCCATTGACCATTTCCTCTATTTCTGTGCCCCAAATGGAGGGAAGGATTTGATTTAATTGATGTCAGTACTTACAAAATGTTATCTCTGTGCTATCTGAACAATTAAACTTACAAATGCACAGGAAAGACTTGTGGATTTTGAACTCATTGAAACCTCTGCTACATATTTCCTGTTACATTATCTCAGTTCCTCCTGAGAAGTCTGTATTTTAGATTACTATTTTGTTTATACTAGTGCAATTTTGATCAATGTGTTTGATAATATATCTGTATGCATGACATTTACTGTCCTGGGGTACAGTGTAGCCCTGTATTGCCCTTTAGTATTCAGCAACACTAGATTGTATCCAGAATATGTTTACACAGTCATTTTCATAGACCTCTTTTTAAACATATGGCTGATTTTCTGTCCAACCTTAATTCTTCCTTTCATCTTCATCTCTTTCCTGAAGCATGCCTGTCCATTCTACTTATCCTTCACATGGGGTGGGGGTATGTGTCCTATTTTACAGTGGACATTCTTCTATTGAAAGCTATTTCCTTTTGAAGGGCATACTAGATAGAGGATGCTATGAAAACAGAATTGCAGAGACCTTGAAGTTGCCCAAACTTACTGGACAGCAGACATCTGAGTAGGTACAGGGAGTACCTATACATCTCTCTTTCCCAACCTCTGCGTATAATCCCTTTGCTAGGCTGGCTAAATTCACACAGTAACT